TGTGTGTGTGTGTTGTTTTAGGTTTGGATCTTTGTGTCTCACTGGATGTGGGAAAAAAAAAAACATTTTCCCCAAGAACTAATACATTCCTGTCACTGTAAACTGCCAAGTCCAGCCATTATTTAAGCCGACTGCCACCGGAGAAGTCCCAGTCATCTTTAAACATGATAGCAACTGCGGCGGCGCTTCAGGCAACGTGCTGCTTCGAGGTATAATGTCACTGAGCCAGGGTCATTTGCTTTGCTTGATATTGGCAATAATGAAAGTAAAGAAGAAAACACAACATCTCCCCATTTGAATCCCAATTGTATGATTTTCCGCAATCAGAAAATGCATAAATTTGTTTTCATTACCCAATCACAGCTATGGTACGTGTCTACCACAGTGCGACAGTTATTAAACTAATTAATCACATGCAAACTTGTCAAATATGATCCTGCACAGCCTTTGTCACTTTGATTAAATTTGAAACGTAAACGTGTGAGAGAGAGAGAGAGAGAGAGAGAGAGAGTGAGTGAGTGAGAGAGAGAGTGAGAGTGGGGGAGGTAAATAGGAATCAAGCAATGACAGTGCTTGAACATACAAGTGACGGCAGGGACTTTATTTGCTGCTTAAAATGCACTTTGTGGAGCAAAACTACAGTCTGTGGAATTACAAGTGCCAAAGAAGTGCTGGGAGCCCATGTTGATGTGATGCATTATGGTCCCCGAGCACAAATGATTCATGAAAAAAGGGCACACATGCATGTCATCTGAGGAGTAAAAACTGGGATTCACTGAATTATTACAACAGAGAGGGTGAAAATTGAATCCTGTGCACCATGAAATAAAAGTGAGGCAAAAAAAGAACACAACAGGAAACGCTTCCTTGCTTCTTTTTCCATAAAATGTTTGAAAAGAATTTCCCCATTCAGGCTTCTGAGCGATTGTTTTGCTTGTAGTAACCAGCAGTCCACACTTTCACATATAGCACACAGGATTGCTGGCGTTTCTATCAGCATCTTACAATCACATCAGTGGACAGTGCATCCCTAAAGGCTTGAGACAGGCTGGATTAATGAACAGACGTATGGTGCTGACACCCCGGGGGACAGGGAGGTAGAAGACAAAAATGGCTGGTGGGAAAGGAATTATCTTTATAGATGTTTTATTTCCACTGGTTGCTACTTTAAAATCCATATTTAATAAGTCTGAAACTGTAATAATAATGCTGCATTAATAGTAATATAAAATAATAAAGAGAATTAAGGGCTTATGGGCTATCTGAAATTAGACATTTCCAAATGTGGAGGTGCTACAAAAAATTCAAAGCATAACACAAGGGGAAAACAATCTGAAATGTTAAAAACTTCAAGCACCTTTGATTTTCTTCAAACGTGGTATGGCTCACAATCCCCTCAGGCAGCAACCAGGGGGCCGGAGGATGATTAAAGTGCATGAATAAAAAGGTTTTACAAGGTCAGATATTAGCCCCTTTCCCTCATGTGACTCCTCTATTAAAGGGTCTAACCAAAAATTATACATGCATAAAAAAAATGTGCAGTGGCTGAAGAGAATACGGACGAGACATGTGTGAAATTATCAGGAGGAAAAGAAAAACAAAACCACTAAACTTTTTCCTTTGTTGCATCTGAACACCTCAACAGTGGCAGCTTTTTAATGCACTTTTCATCATCCTGTAACACCCCCACAAACTCTGGTAAAATGCCTCTGTGAATTGGGAACCCATTCCATTTGATTTTATGGATCAAGGAGTTTCTATGCAACCAGCTCTGGCATGCTAAATGGAATGGCTGTCTATCTAATGAACTGGTTTTAAACGCGTGTCCCCCAGGGCAGTGTGATTTCCTCTTTTTTATTGTATATTTATACCGATGAGATTACGTGCAACAATAGATGCCTCGTCCCGATTAGGCGTGAGGACAATGTGGCCCAAGTGGCAGCAACAAAAAAAGACGATATAACAGACGGGTTTGTTTCTTGTCACCATAAGAGGAAACCAAAATTCAAAGAGCCAAAGGTTTGTACTCCCTGGCAGAGAAGGATATCTGGTGTCACCAATGTCCTGCTCCTCCCGAGGCCAACGAGGGGGAATACACCCTTATTCCCATGTCACCATCCCAGCGACATCCAGCATCGCTTCAGCGGCAGGAGCTCGGGGGGATGTGATGTCAATAAAGACGCTCATTAACTGTCATTATATTCAACACAGTGTCCTAGTTTGGTCAGCTGTCTCAGGGGACCCTGCAAAAATGGTCAGTCAGGAGCCTAAAAATCATTTGGCTGCCAATAACTCCCTGATCACCAGCTGGCTCACACACTAAGACTTGTGCCTTCTGGGTGGGGTGGGGTTTGCTCTGCATCCTTTGAGTATAGGATCTGCTGCAATGGCTGTTTAAAATGATCATCAACAAAGTCCTATCACAGCTTGAACCCCCATGTGGGGGCACAAGACTGAGAATATATGATTTCCAGACAGGACATACCACAGCCAAGAGTCTTTATGAGCATTTTTAATTAGTTTACCTTCTATTTGTTTCTGTATTTATGGTGCACGCCATTATAAATCACGACTCTTTAAATCTCCGTCCCCATTCACATTCAGGACAGACTGAAGCAGGAACATGCCCAGTCAATCAATACTACATGTAGTTAAGAACCATGCATTTTAAAGGGTCTTCTTGCAGTATGTGTTTTTACACCCATGGTTGAGTCCAATCAATGTTATCTCTGTTAAAGTCAGAGAGCAGAGGAATATGACTTCGGGCTTTGATGTCTCATACAATCACAGAAATCAAATAATAGTCGGCTGCTGTTTTGTGGACAGATTTGAGGTTTTACGCGATGAAAATCCTTTTTCATATCTGAACTCTCGAGATCCCCCGCTGGCGCTTTCACCATCACCCACTGCATCTTTCTCATATCACTCCCTGTGGGATTTTACACCTCAGCCAGATCACAGGGAACCTCTCGAAGTGAATATTTGATAGAACTACCCTCGACCACAGGAATGAAGTAATTTTCCTTCAAATGTCCTTTTTAGATTGGATTTATTATCAGTCATTTGGATCTAATATAGCCTGAGCTCTAACATATAGTCATAAAATGCCATCAATTTAAACTACAGTTTCAGTCGCACTTTTAGGACCACAGACAGAGATTCAGGCTGTATAAATCAAAACTGTTGACTGGCTGCAGTGACAAGCCCATCAGTGACGACCCACTGAAGAGTGTTCTGCGGTACGAAAGGCCATCGTTGGCGAAGACATCTCGAACCAACAACATATTTCACAATAAATCCCACAAATCAGATTTTATCAGGTGAATTTCTGGTGCGTTTCTGCAGAGACTGTCTACGATGATACATCTGTGTTGCCTCTAACATCATGATATGAAAACGCACCAGATAAGAAAAAAAACAACATTGAATGATAAAATCCACCAAGTGAGATATATGACCATGGATAGCATGAATATTCTCACTGTTTCTGGGACACGAACATCTGCAGATGTGGACCCAGATTAATTTCTCTGCCAGTGCCACACACGCTCTTGCCAAACAAATTAAGGTGATCTGAATTACCTGAAGTGAAAAACAGTAGCTCTTTCTTTCGTACAACACAGTTTGTGTTCATCTGTGTGCCTGATTTATGCTGGTGCTTGCAGACAATTTGGCAGGGTGTATACTTAAAGTAAGAGATAAAATCTCCATTGTGGAAACACAAATGGGTGTGTGCAGCTGTGATGTGAGTGTCTGTGGGGGGGTGGGGGTCTGAGTGGCTGCTGCAAAGTCTTGTTGTCCATTTCATCTGTGCACATTCACACCAACCTGTTTCAAAGTGCAAAGCCTGGCAGCTTTTCAACAATAAACATGTTGCAGTGCTGTCTGCAGCCAGGTTATTAGACGACTATGAACTATGTGAGCCAAATGTCAACGACCGAGCCACGGCTCATTTACCAAAAGGTCGAACTGTGTCTCATCAGCGTCACGTTAAGGGCCAGGTTGGACACAATCCTCTTTTAATTGTCGCTATACTGCACCTTGATGACAGACATTACTTGATTATATCATAAATAATTAATGTGTTGTGATTGCTGCCAAAATGCCTGCGCCTTCCCGTTGCGCGGTGTCATCCTCATTTACCTGGGGGTTAACTGTTCATTTAAAAGTTCAGGTGGCACACAGTTTGTTGAAATCAATGTTTCTTCTCGAGTTTGAAATCCTGCAGGTGCACAGTCTCATCCACCAGGCGAGCACACAGACAGGAGCGCAGTGCGCGTAATCCTAATCTCCATTTATACAGCAATAAAATACATAATCATGGATTTAAGAAACGAGGCATTGTTGAATTCAAGACTCAGGCAGATTGAAATGATTCATTTGTGGGAAACGAATTCCCCTCGTTCGCACTGAAACAACTGTGCGTAAAAATGTGACAGATTCATGTATTGTATTCAATGTATTTTATAATTCACATATAATGGAGAAAACGTTAATTAGCATTGAATCCAGTGTGTGGAGTATTTTTGTGTTCTCTTAAACCCTTTATGATGAGATGAAGTGTGTTGCTGTTGGATTAAAACTCACGCTGCTGTTGTGTCCGGACCAGTGCACCATCGCCTGGTTGTGCGCAGAGTCTCCCGACAGGGCGAAAGTAGACGTGTCCACGTAAGGCTCACTTTGTCTCGGGTTGGACCCCCTGGTTTCCTCCCCGGAGCGCCGGTGCTCGCCTCTGGAGTTGGAGGCACCTTGGACCGTCTCCACAAACCTCTCTCTTGACTGCGCTCCTGCACTTATACTCATATCCACATTCTCGCTGAATTCTGGACCCACACTCCTCTTCACCTTCTTCTGTCTTTGAAAAATATTCGCTGTACTTCGTTTTAAATTGTCCTCGGAAACGCTGTCGTACTTTTTACCAGGTATTTTGAGACGATTCAGGCAGTTTGGTGCCGTTTCGACGCCGATCGGTGCCTCCGGTTTCAGTCCCTTCTGTTTTTCATTCCTCCTTTTCTTGCCACAGCTCGGTTTCAGATCACCCTCTGGTTCTGTTCCAAAAACTTCTGCGCAATTGTCGACTTTGTTAAAGACTTTGCCCTCGGCTGGTTGTCGGGTTCCACATGCTTCCAGCGGCACAAGCTCCAGCCGATATAATCTTTCGTTAGCTCGGGGTGAACTTATTTCCGCTTGAGCCACGAAGTTGAGGTGCAGGGGGCAGAGCAGCGAGAAAGCCAAAAGAGAAAAACTCCAAAATGACCACAGCTCCATTGTGTTCGTCCCAAACTGACAGTTTATCAGACAGAGGGAAACATGTGACAGAGCTGTTCAACTTCTCAAAAACAAGAATTCAAGGCATCATCTTCACGCGGAGGAGCCGTTCTGCAGACCTGCTCGCGTCCAGGACTTTGTCAAAGTGAGGAACCAGTTGGGGAGGCGCTGCGCGTCAGGCGAGCGCGCCGATGGAGAGTGACTGCGGGAGCGGTTAGAGCTCATTGTTCACGGGGATGCAGCTTTAAAATATAGAAATCATTCTGAAATTATTTCACGCTCTCATTTCCGTCTGTGTATATTTTAAATTATTCAATCACGTCTCGTCTGTTTTTGTAAACACGTAGAAGTTGTTCCAAAACAGCTCTCTGATAGACTCGGTGCGGTTGACAGCAAAAGTAATTTTGTGCTTTGCAGATGTCTTCACGCTGTGGCTCCATTTTTGTGCCTCTGAAACGATGCAGAAATACAAAATATAACATCATTTGTTTGCATCAGGTAACACAGGATTCACCTGTCAACTGTGTGCACGCGCGTGTGCACGTGGGAGAGGGCATTTTGGGGGATTTTCAGATGGTCTTCTGACGTGTGAACGTGGCTTTAATGTGCAGATCTGCAGAGGTGCAGGATTTTCCACCTGTACATCTGATATAAGGCTTTTTTTAATTAGGCCAGTAACGCAGTGTGCCCCAGGCCTTCTGCTACATAACAGCCCGGGAAACAAGAAAAGCTTTGAAGTCATACTATGATGTGTTTGCTGTCATCCTCATGACACACACACTAACACACAACAACAACAACAACAACAACTCCATTTTAATCTTAGCACCTTCAAGTTTCTTGTTATTCTTGCAGATTTGAAAAATGGAGCTTTCTCCAAATCAATATGCTTTTGAAAGGTATTAGTTTCAATTAGTGGAGCCGAATGGATCCTGAATGGCAATCTCTATTTCCTGCTGACAGAGCTCCCTGTCAGTCTTGGCAGAAATTGTATGCCAATCTTGTTGAAAAGACTTTATTCGGAACATTTATTACGATGCCTGGTGATAAGCAGCTAAAAACGCACATTAGCTGTGTTTATATCCCAAGGGAGAGCCATAAAAACATCTCCATCTTCTTCAAGGACAACAAGCACATGTTTGCATCACAAGAATGTAACCAGATGCTATGGAAAGACGTTCGACATATTGTGGGATAAGGAGACAGCAATTTCTCCAACCTGTCAAGGTTAAACCAATCGAGCACCTGAGGATACTCATGCACACTTCCACACTTGCATGAACATGACAAGTAGTGCTGACTGTTGAGAAACACTGTAAACGTGAAGAGACTGAGCTGCAAACCTCCCTGTCTTCATTTGATCGTGAAACAAATATGTGAAAACAAGTAAAGTCACCTCACCAACATTTTCAGAATTCATATTTAGGATTGCAGCTTGTTTCTGTGGATGATTCCTATAATGCAAAATCATGCATCCGCTGAGCTGTAAAACACAGAGCAGAACCGAGTGCAACACTATCCACTGGAAGGATTGACTTTGACACGAGTTCATTGCACCTTCTGATCGTTCACAAGTCCTCAGACAAAGCAGTGAAAACAGCAATCAGAAGAATAGCCAGAAGTGGCATCAGCCTCCTCAGTGACCTCACTTCTTGGTCACTGGTTTTTGGCACGGCTGTACCAACAAATTGAGATTCATACAACTGAGGGCTCCGGGCAGCAGGTGCTACTGTTGCAAATCCACCTCACACTAGACAGCTCACTCTCTCCGCAGTCATTCCCGCCAGAACGCCTCTGCAATGAGGGGGTAATTGGACTGATCACACTCTGTTTACCCATTATGCTGCTAAAATGAAGTGGGTTGTTCCCAAACACAGTGTGACAGGCCGGGGAGGGAGGAGAGGCCTTCTCCATCAATGACACATCTTTTAATCTGCACTAACCTTGGGCCGAAGGAGCTCTGTGCAGATTTCTGTGTTTGTGTCTTTTATGCGCTTGTTTGTGTGAGAGTGTGAGTGATTACATGTGGAGGAATATCTGAGTTTGTGATACATGTGTGTGTGTGTGTGTGTGTGTGTGTGTGTCCATGCCCCACATCCTACGTGTGCTTTAACTATGACAAGGAATATTGCATATCTTCCTGGGTGGAGGACATCTCAGATTCTGCATAAATCTGAGCCAGAGTGAAAGAGAATAAGAGAGAAAGCGAGATGAGAGGACAAGACTGAAAACTGTGTACATCGGTGTAGCTCATTCAATTTTATGTGCTCGCCTCCCCGGTGTAGATCATTAGCAAGATTATCAGATGTAATCAGCTCATTCTGGTGGCACACAACTCAGACAGTCCCCTGCAAACGGCACTGTTCTCCCTCCTGCTTCCTCTGAAGACAGGGAGCAAAATTCTGAAGCTTTCAGGACAAAATCCCATTTGTGCATCCGCTGTCTGCATCCCAAGCTTGTTAGTTCCAACACTTCAGTGATCCCGGCGGAGCGGACGCACAGGCAGAAGTAGGAACCATAATGGCCATCACCCAGACAGCTCACACTCGCATGCAGGAGATGAACAGCGAGGTGCACTCCCCGCTCGGCTATGCCACTGCCATTGAAGAGAGAAACTTTCTTTTATTGCAGATGGCAAAACACTTATTTTGCACCTCCTTCATTGTGAAAGAGAGGCTTTTTAAGATCGCAGTGGGAGGAGCAGTTTAGAACAGTTTGCCTCTGTCACTGCAAATGCACCTCTCCTCATATAGGTGAGTCACTGCATGTATATTATCTCTTTGATATCTTTGCTCTCGAGCCTCTGCCTGTACACGTTGAACACGGGGATGAACCTGTCAAGACATCAGTGCAATTTACCTGACCTCCCACAGCTGCAGCTCATCCCTCACACACAGTTGAGATGAATCCGATCGAGGAATTCTCTCAGCCGTGCTGCAGTTATATATTTATAATTTTTGTTCCTTCACCCACATATGCTAACGTAATAAAGATAAGTCAGACCTTGGACTTGATATAGTTTGGCCATTATATTTGTTTATTATGATGCCGTTCATAATAACTGTTGTGATTGGCGGCTGTGGCTCAGGAGATGGAACAGGTCGTCCTCTAACCAGAAGGTCAGCGGTTTTATTCCTGTCTCCTCAACCCCGCGTTCCGAAGTGTCCTTGGGCAAGATGCTGTTCCCAGCTGTGCATGGGTGATGTGATAGTAAAAAATAAAAAACACTGCTGCACAAAGAAGTGTGTGTGTGAATGGGTGGATGGCAAAACTGTTCTGTAAAGTGCTTTAAGTGGTCATCAAGACTAGAAAACACAATATAAATACAGACCATTTACAGTTAAGCTTCAGTGTTTAGGCTTTTAATCTTCATCTAAAAACGTTTTCTGTAAGTACAACATACCTGTAAATAAATCGGCATACATCGGGATCGGGTCCTCTCTACAGAGGCCGCCATGTTTTTTAAAGTAGCCTAAACTGGAGGCTTTAATGACAACTGAAGGCTACCACAGCTTCTCTCTCGTGTTTGGAAGGGGAGGGTGAGGGGTATTCAGCTACATAGATAAATATTACAAAATAAAAAAACAACTCATGTCAACTCAGGCCACAAAATACACACAAAGCTCTTCCTTTCCTCTCATAAATGTAATTGGCAAAACAAATTGTTAATATGTGCACACAATTTCTAGGAGACAGGGGTTGCTCATTGAACAGGATACTGAGTGTTTGAGAAATGGTTTGTTTGAAACCTCATGTGCACATTTCCTGCCTTGTCTGACTTGATGTCACAGCACAAGACTACAGATGTTAGCATCACACAACTACAGAGAGAACAATCCTTTATCAAGCTTTGGTGCTGTGCCTTGATGGAGAGCAGAGTCACATCTGCTTTACATGGCTCTGAGTTTCCATCTATACAGTTGTGAGTTAGCATGTTCTCGCAATTCCACTCCTACACGCAAGTCTGGGGAAATGTATGCTTGAAATTGACATACCCATGAATCTGTGTGACGGTCTGTCGACTCTATGACGGACTGACAACCTTCGCAGGCTGGTTTCCTGTCTTGCAGCAAAAGCAACAACCCTTAAGTAGAGTTAATATGAGAATCCAATGAACAAATATGTCCTTCTATTTAACCAACTTCCAAGAGACAAGGTTTATGAACATGAATCTGACCCCGGCAATTATGACCAACAGATATATTAGCACAACTAAGCAGCTGCTCTGTTCATGTCTAATAAACATGTTTGTTTATCGCCACTGAGCGTGAATACCATCTGTTGTCAAAAGCAAATTCTTTGACCCACTTTGAAAATACCAGATTTGTCTCTTAAAGGGAAATGCCGGCAGACGAATGCAGGAGGGAAGTTTCACTTGCACAAAGAACATTTCATCGCATGTGAACCTGAATCCATATGTTAGAAAAACTACCCCCCCCCCCGCATGGGAGACGTGGGCACATTTCGTCCTCAGAAAAGGAACTTATTCTAAGCATTAAGAGCAGGAAGAGGGTAGCAGCTCAAACTTGTGAAGCCACTCTCATGTATAATGAACCCTTCTACAGACAGTGACACCACACTTATGCATAATTGCATTACAGTATGTCAAAGAGTGAAATTAAGAAGGAATCAGTGAGGAGAAACAAAGTAACTGTAGCTCATCTGCTGCCACTTGCTTCAGTGAAAAAGGTTTTTATGCCGGAGAACAATTGGTTCAGTACTGGTGCAGCTTATTTAATTTTTATATAAATCCCATTTTTCTTTATGTTAAAGTTGAGGCAAATACAGCCTGAATCTACAAAGTGACCTCTGTTTTCACTGGAACAGGATCCGTAAGATGCCGTTATATCATATATGGACATAGTGTCTGGTTTCTAGCTTTAGGACATGTATATGTTCACTAGAACGTCAGACCATACTGTGGGTGTAATATATGCACGCATATATTTAAAAAACAAGTGGTATTCTTATTTAAGTTAGTGGCAAACAACAACAGCAACAGATCCGATTTAAATTCATCCGTTTTCTCCTTGT